AAACCGATAGTAATGAAGGAAGACATTCAAGCTGCACTGAAGCCATTGGGAAAAATATGACCCAGGAATTTATAGAATGCCAGTTGGCATGGCAACAAACAGATGCAGCCCTGAATGTGCTCACTAAGCTATGCCAAGAAATTTGGAAAGTTGGAAGACAGTTACCTGACCAACTGACTAGCAGAGATTCATATTTGTTCCCATTTTTTTAAAAGTGATTCAGCAGAGTATAGAAATAGTCAGCCAATATTATTAATAATATATACAAGTAAATTTTTGCTGAAGATGATGCAAAAATGGCTGCTGGAACAGTACATCCATAGAGAAGTGAATCCAGAATTCAAGCTGGATTCAGAAGAGACCATGGCACCAGAGATGTTGCTGTTGTCAGATGGATCTTGGCTGAAAGCAGAGAAAACCAGAAAAATGTTTATTTGGGTTTTATTGACTATGTGAAGACATTTGACTGTGTGTTGTTGTTGTTGTTGTTATTGTTGTTAGGTGCCCTCAAGTACAACCCATAATGACCCTATGGATAACAGGTCTGAACGTTGTCCTATTCTGTGCCATCTTCACACTTCCTGGCACATTAGAGCCCATGGTGTCAATCTACTTGGCTAAGGGTCTTCTTCTTCTATGCCATGTTCTGTTCTGCTTTTCCGAGCATCATGTCTCTTTCCAAGGAATAACACCTCTTAGCAACATGCCCAAAGTCTGTAAGGTGAAGCTCTGTATCATCTTTGCCTCCAAAGAGCACTCTGGCTGCACTTTCTCCAAGACAGGTTTGTTTGTTCTTTTGGCCATCCGTGGAATGTTCCGTGCTCTTCTCCAACACCACAGCTCAAAGGCTTTTGACTGTATACATCATAACAAATTGCAGCCAACAAATGAAACTCACAGAACTTAATTATTCTCATGGGAAACTACATAGATTAAGAAGTTGTTATCTGAACAGATCAAAGGAATACTGAGTGGTCTAAAATCAGGAAACGTGTGTGAAGTTGTATCCTTTCTTCACATCTGTTCAATACGTATGCTGAGCAAATCATTTGAGTTAAAATCGTGAAGGTTCCACTAGCTTCTGTCTGACCAGGAGGCCTGGGGTGCTCTGGTAACCTTTTAATTAAACATAATCCTGGGAAGGGTGGAGGGTTGGTGAAGGAGAGGAAGACCCTCGACCATGTAGATTGACACGGTGACTGCTACATCGGGCCCTTGTTTATCAGGAAATGTGAGGATGGTGCAGGATAGAACAGGGTTCAGATCTTCTGTGCATAGGGTCACTATGAGTTGTACTCGACTTGACAGCACCTAAGAACAACAACAACAACAAAAACAACAGAAATAAATAATGCAAGAGTTTGGACAGTTGGGGTCATATAGGATATAAATGGGCAAATGGTGTAGGCTTGTACTTCTATTCTGTTCTGTTCTATTCTATTCTATTCATTCTATTCTATTCTATTCAGTCTATTCTATTCTATTCCTTATAAGGAGCTTTGGTGGCCTAGTGGACACGGAATTGCACTGCCAACTCAAAGGCTGATGGTTTGAATCCACCTGCTACTCCACAGGACAAAGATGAGCAGTCTCTTCCCATCTTTCTGAAAATCCACTAGAGGGTCAGCTAAGAGTCAATTCGGAAAGGAAGGCTGATCACAAACCTCTTGGAGCCCTTTAGGGCTTGCTTTTAGGAGCCCTGGTGGCACAAACATTAAGCATTTGCCTGATAACCACATGCCCAGCAGTTCACACCCATTCATCAGCCCCATGAGAGAAAGACCTAGTGTTCGACTTGAAGATCAAAGCCTAGAAAACCCCAGGGGGCAGTTTTAATCTATCACATGGGATCAGTAGGGATCAAAATTGACAAGACAGCACCTAACAAAAAGTCCTCGGGCATAGACGCAGAGGAGACACGGCTACAGGGCCTGGCTACAGTGAGTGGTTATACGTGTGTATCATGGTCTCAGGACTTAGGGGTTCCTGCACAGCAGGCTCTTCTGGGCCTGGGTCTGCTGTACAATGAGAAGCCTGGAGACAGTGGGAGAGAAAGGGGCTTGAGGCTGCGTGAACCCACTTGGGTTTCCTCTATCGCAGGACAACATGCTGTTCATGCTGGGTAAGGAGGTGCAGCGGCTGTCGGAGCTAGAGCGGCAGAGCCGGAAGAAAAACGAAGAGATCCTCATGCTGTGGAAGGAGATGGAGGCCCTGAAGAAGCAGCTTCAGCACCTGCTAAAAGGCAGAGTCGGGGAGATGGTCATGTCGCCAGGCCTGCAGGTAAGCCAGCATCTGGGGCGCAATCAGGATGCTGCTCAAAAGGACCCTCACTTGCCAGGGTCTTGTAGGCTCCTGAGCTGACTCCCTGGTACCCTGGATGCTACCTGGCCCTTGCCTGACTCCCAGGATTTTGACTAAGAGACAGGAATTCAGATCCAAGGGAGAAAAAATGTGACAGAGAAAAGGAGTTTTGAGCTGGCACCTTGATACCCAAAGGCTGTCTCAGCTCAGCTCTCAGCCTGCTTTTCAACTGCTTGCTTGAAGAGTCTGGGTTAAGGGCCTGAGTTGACTTCTGGGCTTGCGGATAGCGCTGGAAGCCTAGGGGTGGAGGGTGACCCTGCCGGTGAGCACATTGCCACAACTCTGTCGTGAGGTGGCCAGGTGGTTAACACCCCAGGCTCAGGTTCCTGTTCTTGCCACTGTCCCTTCCTTCCACTCTCTGGCTCTGGGGTGCTCCTGACCTGGCCTGTCTCCTCCTCAAAGATGGGGAGGGTGGTGCTGCCTGCCCATGGCTGGGGAAGAGAGAAGTGAGTGTGGGAAGCAGACCTGTGTGGATGTAGCGGGGACCCTGGGCTCGGCCTGGGCTCATGATTGTTTAATGCAGAAGATATAGGGCCCGGCTGATGCTGAGGGTAGGCATGACGGAGAGGGAGGCTTCAGCCTGTAGCAGAGTCCCAGGGACCAGAGAGCTGCTGATAGTGATGGGGGCAGGCAGTGGACAGGTGTCTAGGGAGGAGGAGAGGACCACCCTGTGTTCCCATTCCGCAGCTTCCCGCGGGCTGTTAGATAGGTGTGACAGGCACAGGGCCCAGCGATACCGGCAGACAGCATGTCTAGGACGGGCATCCGCAGCCCTCCTTGCGTGTGTCCTAATGAATTCCCGCAGAGCTGCTGGCTTCCCACTCCGTAACCTCGATGTGCTCTGACCCCTTGGCAGGAGGATAGCGGGTCTCCCTGCCTCTATGAGGATCAACTGCTGCCGCCTTGCCAGGAGGACACGTCGAAGCATCACATCACCCCAGAGGCACTGTGGGAGCGTTTTGAAAGCCTAAGGACCCACCTGAGCTTCCTGGAGGAGCAGCTGCCAGAGTCCCCCACTAAGCAAAAGCAGCTGAGCCTGTCCGTCCTGCCGGAAGTCAGCAGGGAGGAGGAGGAGGCGGAGTCACCACTGGGGTGGAAACAGGTACACTGGTGCCAGGCCAATGGGTTCGCGAGTCTGCCCAAGGCAAGAGCCTGTCAACTCTACTCTGGAGCCTCTCCCAGGGTTCCTGCCCCGTTGAGCTGTCCCTACCTGCAGCCCTGACTTCAGGTGCCCCCTGATGTAGGCCTTCGGGCCCCTGCAGGGGAACAGAGGAGGTACACCCATCCGCGAGTACAAGCCTCTTGCCAGCAAAGGAGCAGATTGTGGGGCACAGGTGTGTTTGGCTAGCTTTTGGCACAGTGCCCAGTGGGTGTCACCTTCTCTCTGAACCCCCTATAGCAGCCTGAAGTGAAACTCCCTCTGAATTCCCCCTCCCCGCCCCACCCAGCACATGGCCTTCCTCTCTCAAATGCAGGATTCCATGGTGGCCCAGAAGGGCAAGGACTTGAAAGGAGGCGAGGAGGAAGAAGACCTGGCAAGGGCTGCTGAGGGAGCACAGGGCAGTGGAAAGAGGGCTGCGGACAAGAAGGGGGCTGTGCAGGAGGAAATGGATGAGGAAGAGGAGGGGGTTAAGGAAGAGGAAGAGGAAAGCCCAGTGGAAGAGGAACGAGATGATGAGGAAAAAGATGAGATTCAGAAGAGGATCTATTCCCTGGATGAGACGTTTGAGGATGAACTGATGGCCAGGCTGGAGGAGTATGAGCAGGTGGTCGAGGAGATCCAGTGTGACCTGGAGATCACCAGGAACAGATACTCGCTGGCGACAGGTAGGAAGGACCCGCCACCACTGCTGATGCTAGGCTCACCTGGGGAAGGGGCTGGTGCAGACGTGGGTGGGGAGCACCCAGATGCTGCCTGCTTTGTTCTGAGGGTGGGAGGAGCAGGGTTCATCCTCCCAGCAATTTGATGCAAGGGGCTCAACCTGTACCTCACAGGGGCCCAGAGCACCTTCAGGCTGACATGGTGACAACCAGCCTCTTCTTGTTCAGCGTTCCATCTTTCTGTATCCCTGTCCCCTTTGTTTGTCCTTTACTCATTCAGGAGTGATTATGTCGTTGCAAAGGCAAGTGGATTTCCAAGAGTCTCAGCTACGAAAAGTCAACATGGAGAACGAGATACTGCAGAAGGAGCTGCGGGAGCGCAAGAATCAGCTTCAGGCCATGTCTGACAAGGTGGTCAACCCCTATTAACACCCACTGTGCACTAGACTTGTCCAACAAGGCGGCCAACCCTTGTGGTGCCCACTGTGTGCTTGGCACACGTGTTTATTCCTACTCCTCATGTACACGGAATGAGCACTCTTAATCCACATGAGTTGGGTACAGTGATTCTGTGTATTCCCTCCATCTTTTGATGCTTTCTGGGTCATTCAATATATTGCCCACAACATCTTTCAATATTGCAGTTCAAGGCTTAAACTTACGTTTCCGTTTTCTCAGCTTAAGAAATGCAGAGCGAGGGAGAAGGGTGCAACAATGAATGAATGGAATTCCAAAATCTCTGTAGATGTTCATTGAAATGAAAAATACATACATACATACATACATACATAAATTTTTTTAAAAATGACATCTAGAGCGAGTTCTTCCCTTTTTATTCTCCAACTCCAACTCTGCACATTACAACACTTTGCTTTGTCTTCTCGTGTTGCCCTTGGAAATCTTCTGTTCAGCTCTTTTACTTTGGCATGTTTTCCCTTTGTTTTGGCTTCTTGACACTCTAGTATAATTTTGAGAGTCTCTTCTGACATCCATTTCAATTTTTTCTTTCTCCTATGTTTTTGTAATGTCCTTTTGCTTTCTTCATGGATGAGACCTTTGATATCATTGCACAACTCATCTGGTCTTCTAGCATTGGTGTTCAGTGCTTCAAATCTATTCTTATTTTATTTTATTATTTCTCTGTGTGTGTATCATCAAATCGGTACAGGAGGAGATTGCCCCTCCTTCTCCAGCAGAGAATCTGGTGGATTCAAACTGTGTACCTCTGGGATTGCAGTGCAGCTTCTCAAACCTATTCTTAATATGATCTTGAAATTCAATGGAATAGATTTGAGACCATATTTTGGCTCCTGTGGACTTATTTTCATTTTCTTCAGCCTCAATTTGAACTTGCATATGAGTAATTGAGGATCTGACCCTCTGTCCACGCCTGGCCTAGTTTTGACTGACCGTATTGAGCTTCTCCAAGGATTCTGTCCATAGATGTAGTCATTCTGATTCCTCTGCAGCCCGTCAGGGAGGTCCGTGTGTATAGTCACCGTTTGTGTCTTTTTAAAATGGTATTTGTGATGAATAAATCATTGAAAAGACAAAATTCAATCATTCTATTTCCAGCCTCATTTCTGTCACCAAGCCCTTATTTTCAAACTACTATTTCTTCTTTATTATTTCCAACTTTTGCATTCCAGTCACCAAATATCATTAACACATCTTAACTGCACTTCAAATCCACCAGTCACTTCAAGAGAAGAAGATGAGGAGTGTCCCTGCTTAAAAATTCACAGCCTTGGAGACCCAACAGAGGGTTAATAACGAGTCAAAATTGGGGAGGCTCAAGAGGGTTAATAACGAGTCATAATTGGGGAGGCTCAAGCTGGGCTCTGTTCCAGTAAAACCTCCAGATTCAGACAGACTAGGAAGAAATGTGCTGGTAATCGACTCTGTCTGGAATCCAGCCTGTGACGACCTATGGATCACAGTGGTCCAGTGCTGCTGTGCGTGGGATCACCATGAGCTGAGGTTGACTTGGTGGCAGCCGACAGTAACAAAGGGAGGGAGGAACACTGACCGCGAGTGTACAAGCTGCCCGCTCTGCCTGGCTGTCCCCTGGGCTAACCCTTCTGCCTGCCTTTCAGTTCTCCAACCTCCGAGAAGGCAAGAAACATGAAGAAATGATGGGGCTCATCGAGAAGGACAACCTTCTCCTCCGACAGGTAAGCTCTGGGTGCTGGCAAATGGCCAGCCAAGTCCTTGTTCTGGCTCTACTTCCTGGGACAGAGTAATAAGGCAAGAGGAAGCTGAGAATGCCCCCAATCAATCCCAACTGATGGCTGCACTCCGAAGCGTTTCCCAAGCTATAAATCACAACAAGAGCACACCGCTTCACCTTTCTCCCTTTGAGCAGCTGAGGTATTTGACCCACTGACCTTTTGGTTAACAACTCAACATATAAAGCACACTCTCTCTCTTTCTCTGTCTCTCTCTCACTAATATTGAGTGAGAACTAACTCCTGGCTGACCCTCCAGTGGGTTTTCAGAGGCTTTAAATCACATGGGAGGAAATTGCCCCGTTTCCTCCCATGGAACGGTTGGTAGGTTTGAACTGCCTGTCTTTGGGTTGGCAGCATAATTCCCTACTGCCTAGGCCGCCAGAGCTCACCTGCTGGGCCACTAAGGCTTCTTAATTTGTAGGTAAGTAACCAACCTGCTCCCACGCAGTCGATTCTGATTCATAGCAACCCTCCCTCGGATTTCCAGAGCTCTAAAACTTAATGGGAGGAGATGTTGGAGACAGGCAGCGTTTCAGTTAGCAGCACCGCACGCTGTGGACTCCGCCGCCGGGGCACCTTAGACAGGCCGTACAGTTCCCCTTATGCCGAGGATCTCTGGTGGCATAGGCGATAGCATGTTGCATGGCTAACCAAAGGCTGAGCATCTCCAGTGGATCTAATCCACTGACCCCTTCTCAGGAGAACAAAGGGCAGGCTCCTCTCATTCAAGTTTACAGCCCTAGAGACCAAAGGTGATGCTGTAAATCAGCATTGACTTCAGGACAACACGAGTACTCGAATATTTGAGAGACTTTTCTTTCAAGCAGGTCCCCACACAGCGTGTCTCAGGACAGCCCACAGTCCTTGCAGTCATCGGCTCAGGATCTCAACCTGGGCTCCAGAAAGAGTGGGTCCCCCACCTCTGAGGGGAATGGAAGGAATGACACCGAGAGCACCCACAGTGTCCCTTTCTCCTCTGTCCTCCTGGCTCTCCAACAGCAAGTGATGGACCTGGAAAGAGAACTCATGAATCGTGACCAGGTCATCTCGGAATACACCGCCAAGGTGCATCAGCTGCAGATCCAGCTGAGCCTGGAGCAGAAACACCTGCAGCAGGGGAAGCAGCTGCAGGAGGAGCTGCAGAACAGGAGCGAGCTGATCCAGCAGGAGGAGCAGCAGGCTCGTGTGGCCCTGGAGAGCGCCCAGGCCAGGGTATGCCCAGCTCCGCCTCCTGAGGGTCTTGGCCCAGTAACTGGCAGTGCAGACGTTGGACCCCTGCCCACTGTCAGCCAGAGGGGAGCGTGCCTGCTGAGAGGGCAGGGTTCTGACTATCTAATCTTCATCCCAGCGCCCAGCTAGATGATGATGCCCCTGAAATGTTGGCAGAAGCAGAAAATGGTGGAGAGAGGAGGAGGGAGATTTAGAATAATGACAGGAAGGAGCTTCCTAGGCACGGGCCTCTCTATCTATGAGGGACGTGGGACTTGGGCTGGGCTGTGGAGCGGTTAGATTTGCACAGAGGCTGTGGAATCAGTGTAATAAGTATGCCTGCTTGTGATTTTTGGGGTCCCTGGAAGTTGCAATCAATTAGCTCAGCAGGTAACCAAAAGGTTGAAGGTGCAAGTGGACCCAGACACACCTAGGAAGAAAGTCCTGGTGACTTTCCTCTGAAAAATCATCACTTGAAAACCTTGGGCATCTGGCATTTGTCCTTTATAGTACATGCTCTGTGGGTGCTGTTCTAAGTTGTTCAGTGATAGGAAATACATTTAACCCTTTTAACAGAGGATGAAGTGAGGACTGTAACTATCCTCGCTTTAGACAGGGAAATTGAAACAAAGAATGATTACTAACCCACCTAACACCCCAGACTACCTAAAAAATGGTTTGGGGATTTGAATCTGACCAGTCTTCACTATAGGGTTAACTTTTTTCTTCTTTTTTAATTGATATTTTAATGAAAATTTATAGAGAACTTGAATTTCCATTCTTTCATTGTTGCACATTTTCCTCCCTGCCCCTCCCCCCACTTTGCTTTTCTCTTTGAGAAAAAAATTCTTTCATTGTTGTACAATTCCCCTTCCCACCCTAGTCAACTAAAGTTACTATGCAGCTCTTATTCTGGACTCTTGTCATGCCAATAATACCTAATCACATATTCCTTTTAAGCAGTTCTCTCCTTCATCTGTTTCAATGCAGTGTACATTATTTATCCCCTCTTAGTTCTTAGTCCCTTTCCAACTCCCATGTCAGTACTGTTTTATGACAGTGGCATTACGCAGTATTTATCCTTTTGTGATGGAAATATTTTATTCAGCATAAAATCCTCCCTGGTCACCCATTTTGAAGAATATTGCATAAGTTCCTTGGGTTTCAATGCAGTGTAGTATGCCATTGTGTGAATATACCACAGCTTCTCTATCCATGCGTTTGTTGATGGGCACTTGATTTGTTTTCATCTCTTTGCTATTATGAACAAAGCAGCAATAAACATGGGTGCGCATATATCTGCTTGGGTGGCAGTTATGGTTTCTTTAGGGTATATTCCCAGTAGTGGAATTGCTGTGTCAAATGGTTTTTCTATTTCCAACTTTTTTAAATTTTTTTTTTTTAATTTTGTGTGCGTGTGCCATCAAATCAGATTGGACTGGTACAGGTGGAAATTGCCCCTCTTATTCCAGTAGAGCATCTGCTGGATTTGAACCTCATACCTCTGAGACTGCAATGCAGCCACCAGAGCTCCCTTATTTCCAACTTTTTGAGAAAACGCCATACAGCCTTCCATAGTGGTTGCACCATTTTACACTCCCACCAACAATGAATAAGGGTTCCAGTTTCTCCACAAGTTCACCTGCAATTGTTGTTTGCTGTTCTGTTGAATTTTGCTATTCTTACTGGGTTGAGATGATATCTCATAGTTGTTTTAGGGCTAACTCTTAGTGGCCAAGTTCATGTGTACAAAGTCACCAAGGGTGCAGTGGACACATTCTGCTTGAGGAAACCAGTGGACACATTCTGCTTGAGGAAACCAGATAGCAGATAAAGGACATTTACAGAGAGGTGACCTTACTTAAAGTTCAAAATTAAGCTAGGTTTTGATTGTAATAAAATCTACATGACCTAAAATGTATCAATTTAACCATTTTTAAGTACACAACACCATGGCATTAATTGTACTCATTATATCATGCAACTGTCATCATGATCTATTTCCAAAATCTTTCACTGACCCAGACAGAAATTCTGTCCCCTTTAAGCAGTAGCTGTTCACAGCCCCCAACCCCCCATCCCCTTTCATCTCATTTGTCTGTCCTGGGTAGTAAATATAAGTGGCATGACACAGTTCTAGCCATTCTGCCTCATGTTTTCAAGGTTCATCTCTGTGCTGACCTATATCAGATCTTCATTTCCAATATATGGATATCCATCCATTATTTATCCAGCCACTGATGAACCAACCCTTGGGGAAATTCTATTATGTGGCTATTTTGAACAGTGTAGCTAAATAGAAAAGAAGCTTTAATACACAGAAATTTATTTGCTCACTTTTTGGGAGAGTAGAAGTCCAAATCCAGACAGAGATTCGAGAAGTAGATGTTCTCTCTTTGTCAGCGATGGAGAAAAGTCTTTGTCTCTTCAGATTCTACTTCCTGGTCCCATGGAGATCTCCACAAGTCTTGGCACCTCTTATCCCATCTCCTTGTGCTTGGTTGCTTAATTTCTTTTTATATCTCAAAAGATAGTCAATATTCGGAGCTCTGGTGGCCTAATGGCAAGAAGCTGCACTGCAATCCCAGAGGACTGTGGTTCGAATTCACCAGATGCTCTTCTTGAGAAGGAAGGACACTCTCCTCCTGTACCAGTCAGATCTGATTTGATGGTACACACACACACAAGATCGCCAATATTCAAGAAACACCGTACACTGTTGTTGTTGTTGTTGTTGTTGTTGTTGTTGACCACAACTCCTCACGATCATGAGTCCTGCCCACCTGCACCATCCTCAGGATGTCTCATGCGCAAGCCCACTGAGGTAGTCATGACGTCAGTTCATCTCACTGGGGTCGTCTTCTCTTTCAGTAACCCTGCACCTTTCCCAGCATGTTGTCTCTCTCCAAGGACTGGTTCCTCCTGAAAATATACCCAAATAAATGAGGCAAAGTTTCCCCGTCCCTTCTCTAAGGATCATGGTGGTTGCACTTTCTTCAAGAAAGTTTTGCTTGTTCTCTTGGCAGGCCTGTTCAATACTCCTCACCAACATAAACTTACCCTCCTTAAGTAACATAACAAAGACAATGCTAAGTGGGATAATACTAACAGACGTGTACACACATCTTGTACACAAGGTCTTCCTCTTTTTCATTGACTTTCTATTTTTACAAGCAAAGATAGACTTGTCTGAAGACTGGACTCCCCTTATAACATACATAAAGTACGCAAGATGATGTCATTGCTTCTAAGAATCATTTGGTTTGACTTCTTCCAAGAAAGATTTATTCTTTTGGCAGTTCATGGTACATAGTCAACACTCTTCTCCAACACAATTTAAAGCCATTAATCCTTCTTCGATCTTCCTTATTTGAACTGTATACATTTATGAAGTGATTTTAAAATGCTATGGCTTGAATCAGGCACAAAGTTGAATTCTTTAACACCATAGAGAGGTTTTTAGCAGCCAATTTGCTCAATGCAACACATCATTTAGTTTCTTGTCTTGAGATTTCATGGGCGTTGAGTATGGATCCAAGTAAAATGAAATCATTGACAGCTTCGATCCTTTCTACGTCTACCTTGATATTGTTTATTGGTCCAGGTGTGAGATTTATTTGGTTTCTTTACGTTGAAGCGTAATCCATAGTGAAAGTCAGTAGGTGCTTCAAGTCTTCTTCATTTTCTGCAAGCAAGGTTGTGTGGTCAAAGATTATTGATGTCTTCATCCAATCTTGATGCCACATTCTTCATACAGTCCAACATCTCAGATTATTTGCTCAGCCAGCAGATGCAGCTCATAAATAATGAGTGTGATATCTCCCATTTAGGCCTGCCAAAATTAGAAGAGGGGCTGGGATGGATTGACTCGAAGCCTGGAGAAATACGATTAAGTCTGTTGGAGTCAATGAGATTGGTTCATGATATGGCAGGTTTCAGAGCTAATGAGTTGCAGGTGACTCGATGGCACATAACAACAACAACAAAAAGGTGCCAAAGGCAAGTGATGTTTCTTTTCTTTGCTCCTAGCTGGAAAGACTAAGAGATAAGATCATCCAGACCACCTTCAACAGCACAGGGATCAAGTCCATGTCCACTGAGATCTCTGACAATGAAGTCCTGGATGTTCTACAGGTATGTTCCTGCCTTCAGCTGCATCCATGCCGCCAGGATGTGCATCTGAGGGTGGAGGTGGAGGGTAGAGGCCTCAGTTGGACTCTGAGGACCCCATCCATTCTTGTCTTCTGCTCATCTAATTGTTCGTACTGACTATGAATATCTCTAGGAGGTGGGTATCCATACGCCAGATTGTCTCTCAGACAATCTCAGATTGTCCCTCTGCTCAGGCAGAGGGCACTAGATGGCCCCAGGCTCTTCCTAGCTCTGACTGTCAATGAGGATGACCACTGGGGGGCACAGGCACTGAGCTGTCCCCCAGGCAGACTGCATCTCTTCCATAGAGGATCATCTCAGAGAGAACCGAATACTATAACCAGCTGAAGCAGAAAGGTGTGAAAGTGCCTCCCTTGAGCCCATCCGATTCCATGTTCCCCACATCTGGCAAATCCAAGAAAGGGTCTCCCAAGTAGGTCATGCCCAGGAAGCCTGGCAGGGCAGCCCAGCTGAGGATAGGGCCTGGATCGGAGGTCACCCTCCTGTGTTCTGTCCTAGCCCAGCCTCTGCCCTCTTATTCAGAATTAAACTCTATCGTTGGTCTCATAGTCTCCACTTTTTTATCTCCTGCATCCGCCTAGCCAGTTGATAAGCTTCTGTACCTTGGAACCCATCATGAGCTCCAATTTCTGAGGGTATTCCCTGGAAGTCAGCACACCTAGTCTATGTCACTGGGTCCCCCCTGGGAGATTGCACACAGAACTGGAATGCTTCCAGCGGTCCTGGGCCTTCACCCTACACTCCTTCCCCCTCTTCTCAGCTGCACACACACCGGGGCATTGGGAACCTGCCCCCACGGGGCTTGGCTGACTGAGGTGCTGATCGGGTAGTGGAATGCCCTGGGCAGGCGGGGGTTGGGGGTGGGACACAGCTGTCCAAGTCCATTCATCCCTCAGAGGAAAGAAGGAGCACTGTGCTGTTCACCTGAGGAGCTCTGGGAGCATAGTCTGTAGTGTGTTGCACAGCTAACCAAAAAGCTGCATGATTCCAGGGGTTCAAGTCCACCAGCGGCTCCACAGAGACAGCCTGTTGCCTCCTCTTAAAAGTTACATCCTCAGGGAGCTCTGGTGGCCTAGTGGCAAGAAACTGCACTGCAATCCCAGAGGTGAGTGGTTAGAATCCACCAGATGCTCTGCGGGAGAAGGAGACACAATCTCCTCCTGTACCAGTCAGATCCAATTTGATGGTACACACACAAAAAAATAATAAAATAGGGGGGAGGGGTGGGCAGGGGAAAAAGTGCAACAATGAATGAACGGAAATCCACAGTGTCTGTAAATTTTCATTGAAACTAATAATAATAAAAATCAAACCAAAAATTCAATAATTCATAAAAAAATAATACAATTTAAAAAATCACATCCTCAAAAACCCAATGGTGGGTGAGCTTGCTGATGTTAACCAATGCCTTTTCTGATGTTAACCAATGCCTTCCTGTCCTGACTTTTGGGGTGAGTGGAATGCTAGAGGACCACCTGAATGCAGGATCCAGCCACACTGGTCTCTCTGCTTACACCACCTGTGTATCCATGTACACACTCCGTATCTGCTTACTAAAGGCAGCCAACACTGGGCACCTCGCTCACTCCAAACAGGACCGACTGGCACTGTCCATGATGAGACTGGGCACATTCAGGGTGGTCTGGCCACAGACTGACACTGCCTGTGAGAGATGGGCCAGTGCCCAGTGGGAACTGCACCCTTACCCAAGTCCTTGGGCACATGGTCTCTAGGGCTCCCTTCATGCCAAGAAGGCTGAGTGAGCACCTCGATACTTGGCCTCACACCCGACCCTCCACCCAGTCCTGTCTGACTTCTTAGTCCACTGCCCTCCACAGGAGGCCTGTCCGGATCCATTCAGTTCTGCTCCTCAGACCTCATTTCCGCCCTGGAGTGTCTATTCTCTGACTCCCAGACAAAACCCCAAACCGCAGTGCAGAGAGAAAGGTCCTTCTGGGATTCAGGGGTTTAGAGTCCATTCCTGTGGCCTGGACCACAGTGGCCTAATGCGTAAGAAGCTGCACTGCCAACTGAGAGGCAAGGGCTCGAATCCACCAGCTGCATCCTGAGAGAAAGATGGACAATCTGCTTCCATGCAATTTACAACTTCTGAAAACCCACTAGACACAAGTTGGTTCTGATGAAATTGCACATAAAAACAACCTTTAGATTGTGGGTGCAATCAGTCTTTCCCATTCCTTCACCACCACTCCCATCCGCCCCCTGAACTCAAGTATTCTAGTGATCCTCTCCCCCTTTCCTGCCGTCTCACCCCCCTCCCCTTTCCCTTTTGGGCTTTTATAAAAATGAAGTGGGAAGGAGCTCTGGTGGCCTAGTGGCAAGAAGCTGCACTACAATCCCAGAGGCGTACGGTTCAGATCCACCAGATGCTCTGCTGGAGAAGGAGGGGCAATCTCCTCCTGTATCAGTCAGATCTGATTTGACGGTACACACACATAAAAAATAATAAAATTTAAAAAAAAATTAAGTGGGAAGCATAGCAGTCCTTGACCTCAAAACTTACTACACACCATAGTAACCAAAATAGCACTGATACAGTGAGAGACACAGACCAGTGGGGTCGAATTGATCTTTAGGTCACAGTCAACTCATTGGCACTTAACAACAAATCTTTATTATTTCTGACTACTTCATTTTTCTTCCACCAAGCCAGTTCCAACCACCAACCTTGTGGTTCACACCAAATTCTTTAAGTACAGTGCCATCTGAATGCCTAGACCCTCCTCAAAAGCTTTCCCCCAGGAACTGCCCCTCTCTAACCCTGCCTTGCTCTATATAAAATCAGGCTTCAAACCCTTCAGACCCACATTGAGGAGCTGCACCAGACAGAGATAAGCACACAGATAAGCATGCCTGCTGGACGGACTGGGGAGAGGAGAGCTGCTGGCAAGTCTCCCAGGCTGGTAGCCTTGTAGCTCCCCGCCGCAGCAAAGCTGGAGGGCTGGCTGACTCCAGGGCCTGCAGCTGCAGGGAAGGGAAAGTCTAACCTTTCACAGAAGACCTACCCAATCCCAGATCCCTACAAGACCCCTTAGGAAGCTCCAGCCACTTTTTAAAAATCACTATTATTTTTTACTGGTTTATTTACAAAGTTCATATACATTGTTTTTCTCCAGCCCCTTTTAAAATTTGGCTTCATGAGCTTTGAGGAATCAGCCAGTCTTGAGAGCTGAGCCACTTGCAAGGCTCTGACAGTCTCCCTGAGCCCCACAGGCCCTGGCCCCCACCCCAACGCCCTCCATTTGTAAATTGTGGCATCCTGAGGGATTCGAGACTGGATGAAGGGTCTGGGATGAGACTCACACTCTCAGGAGGGCATGGAGTCCCACAGGGGCTCCCACCCCTTCTCCCAAGCTCCCAGTTCTGCTGGATTAGGGCAGGTCTGCTAGGTTCGAGGCTCCTGCTTGGTCAAATGGGTGCAGGACATGTGTCTACAGAGAGTGTGGAGGGGAGAGAGGAAACGCCCCTCTCAGCACCACCAGTGTAGCACAAGGGCTGTGTTGGTCTCCACCGGCCAGCAGTGTGTAACAGGAAACTACATCCCTGTCTGTCCCCGAAGAAGCATTTCCTTCACACCCACAAATCCACAGGAACGTGGCAGACATGGAATTCACGTAGAGTCCCATGACTCTTCAAGGCAGAAGAGGCTGCTGTTCCTTTCATGAAAACACACGCTTCCTCATACTCCCTCTCTTTCTTTTTTATGCTGAGAGAGGAAGACCCTCAACAAGATAGATTTGAATGGTGACTCTAACAATGGGCTCAAGTATAGCAGAAATGATGAGGCAGGCATAGGATGGCAGGGTTCAGATCTGTTGTTCATAGGATGCTTTGAGTCTTCAACTCCAGGCATCTTAACAACCCCTTCTCCATTCCAATTGACTTTGCCCGGAGCTAGGTGGCTTTGGAAAGGTGAGGCTATTATGCTTATCTCAACCCAGGACTACTATTGCCTGGACTGGCACATTACTGCCTCTAGTAGATAGGATCCTGCTCAGGGCAAGGAGATTTGTGACTGTGATCTGGCTCTTCCAGGTCCAACCTTGGGGAAGGGCCAAACCAGGATCACATCAGGGATTTAAGGGTTGCCTGCTTTCATGAGCTGCTGTGCCTTTAAGCAACTGTGTACAGAATTACCTGGGAGGGGAAAGGTCAGTATTTTCCAGGCTGGTGACCCCGTACCTCCTCAGTCTCCGCCTTTCACTGTGTGCAATCTACCCCTGTGTGCAGACCCCATTGCAGACCCCACCACCACCACTGTTGTCACGCTGCTACTCCCCATTTTAGTTCCAGCTCAAATCCTGCCTTCTACCAGTCCAGTGCATAGGGGGACCCACCACCATGAAGTGCAGAAGGGCTACAATGCTTTGCTCTCTAATCCCACCTCAAATCCTGCCTCTGCCAATCCAGTGCATAGGGGGACCCACCACCATGAGGTGCAAAAGGCTGCAAGGCTTTGCTCTCACTAAGCCCCTGGTCTCCCCACAGGCCTCTGCTCCCTTCTGAGGGAGACCCATGTCCTAGGTACTCCCCAAGCTACAGGAAGGGGGCTGCACAAGCCCAGGGTTACCACTACCCAGGCAGGGCCAGCCAGGCCCCCTCACTACAGGGCTGAAGGTGCTAGCCACTGTTCTCTGGGTCTACCCAGCCAGCCTCCCCAGAGACCTCTTCTAGTGAGAATGGGGAGGTGCAGTTACCTGGGTACACAGACACTCTGGCACTAACGCAAGGATCCAGCAAGTTCTATTCCTGGGAATGGCCCAGGTAGGACAGGATTCAGGGCTGTTGTTTATAGAGCTGCTATGAGTTTTACTCTCAGTAACACCTAACAAGAACATGGTGATCTGGGAGCCCACGCATAGTTCTGGATAGATCTGCCCTTGTGTATTCCTGAGGACACCTGTGGCTGACACCTGATAGCCTCTGGGTTGGAAGTCTAACTTTACCTCCTCTTACAGGGTCCAGCGGCTCACCTAAACACTCTGCAAAAGTGGCCCAGAGCTTCTAGGGGCCTCCTTAAGATGGCTGGGTTGGTTCCTGCTCCATCAGTGTGTCCCCCTGGGATGTGCTGACCCTCATATAGTCCTGGCCTGGCCCCCTGCCTTGGTCTTCCCCAGGGAAAGACCTTTGCTGACATGTGCATGCCTCACTGAATGCAGACTCAGGAGTGTGAAATCCAGTACGCCCAGTGGAAGGACAGCAGATCTGAGATGATCCTGTATAACGACGAGATGCCTAAGAGATGAGATCCCTACACTGACCCCACCCCACCTCCAAACCCTGACAGGCAGACTGGCCCCTTCCTGGACACCACTCTGTCTTACTGTGATTCTTAGCAAGTCCAGGCTCCTTAGCTCAGGACCTAGCCCTCTGTTCTAGCCCCAGCCTGAGAACACCCTCCCAAGGTTGGGATGTGGCTGCATCCCTGCTCCCACCTTCCTCCTCCTCCTCAGTCTGCTGAGCTCCTAGGGCTGCCTCTGCACCCCTGCCTGAGACCACCCTGCCCATTGCTTACTCTGCCCTGACACTATCCCCCATCTGTCCCCTTAGTGACACTTCCCTCCTCCAGCCCTACTCTGAGGCTTACATGAGTTTTCTCATCCTAGGGTCTGGGAAGCTCTCCTTGCTAGAAGGCAGGAGCGTGGTGGTGGGAGTGCAGGAATCGTGGCAAGTTTTTGGAGTGGACTGCTTTTCCGGGAATGTGTTTGACGTGCAGGTTTGCTCTGTCCCTGGAGTGAGGCTAGCCAGCCTGGGCCTAAGGTTTGAACCAGGAGGCGGCCTTAAGCCCAAAGGGCCCTCGGGTTGCTCG